GGGGGACGGAGGACCCGAAGCAGGCTTTGCGCTGACGGCAGCCAGCCCGATGAGGGGCTCGAACTCACAGACCGTGAGAGCGTGACCTGAGCTGAAGTTGGAGGCTCAACTTCAACAATCAGGCGCCCCTGATTATTATCATTTTAATAGCCATTCTTTTCGGAAATGAAGACACTAAGCCTCCGCTGGTTAAGTCACCTGCCTAGGGGCACACGTGGACAGGTGCAGAGCAGGGGCGACGTCAAGCCTTCTAGCCGCACGGCCCTCATCCCCCCCTACTGCACCCCACAACCACCCGAGGGGGCTTCCAGAGGCCAAGCGACAAGGGGCGCGAAAAGTGCTCTGTCGTGGCCATAGCCCCTGGGGTAGCGCTTCTCAGAGCGTGCCCCCCAGACTTCCGGTGTCAGAATGATCCAGGCCTTTGAAACACAGACTCTTTCACTTTGAGCAAGGGCCCCAAATGGTTCTGACGTAACACCTGCTTCTGGAATCAACCCCTTCACCCTCCCTGCCAGCCGTCTCCCCTCCTGCCCTGTGCCCACCTCACGTCCCACTGCCGCCCCTCGCCGTCCTCTCCTCAGAGCTTGTCGCATGGCCTGTGTCCTCACTTGTCACCGGTTGTGCCTGGCATCACGTTGTGTCTCCCCCCACCCATGCTATTCTCAGCTCTCACATTCCTGGCCTCTGCTCACCTGGACGGATGGGACCATACGTGTGCTCCTGGGGGAAGCAGAGCACAGCCCTGCCCTCAGGGGGACCAAACAGACATGCTTACAGAGGGTCGGGGCCCAGCTCCCCCTCAGCCCCTCCCCCACAAGCACCAACACCCCCACCCGGCCTTTACCTGGGAGGCCCAGGTCTCCTTTGTCTCCTTTAGCCCCAGGTTCGCCTTTCAGGCCAACGAGTCCCCCATCACCTTTGCTGCCCTTCTCTCCTTGCCGTCCTGGGGTGCCTGGGCAGAGAATGGCCAACAAGATGGACTCCCGCCGCCCTCCCAAGGAGGACTCAGGAGCCGCCCACGGGCTGTTCAGCAGCGGAGCAGGGGGCGTTTTGAAAAGAAAAGAAAGGGGCCTCTGGAAGAAGTCCAGGGGATGTTAGGTCATAAGACTCCAGAGCAGAGGACTGTGGGAGGGCACCAACCCCCTGGGGCTGTGGGTGGGGATGTGGGGAGGGGGGACCTGGGCAACTGGCTCAGCACCTCAGCCAAGGCAGGGCTGAGCCCAGGCAGGGGAAACACGCGTTACCAGGGGCTCCTTGTTTCCCTGGAGCGCCGCTGGGTCCTTGGAGGCCTGCGGAGAAGGAAAAGAAGAATTAGTCACAGTGTTCCAGGCTCTTCCGTCAGCTGACGTTCTAGAACCTGTAGGAGGGGACGAGGGCCCAGCATGAGGGGAGGGACTTCGGTCTGTCTCATTCTCTGTCTCTCACACACACACAGACACCCCAACGGTATCAACATTCACCCTTCACAACAGCAAGAGAAAGAGAGATTGAGAGAGAGAGAGAGAGAGAGGAAAGAAAAGGCTGAGTTGTTAGACACAAGGGTGTAAACGAGCCAGGCCCCTGCCTCCTGACTCCCCCCGCCCGCGCACTCACCCAGCCCCTGCCCACCTGCCTCTCCCTTGATTCCAGGTGGACCTTGGAGTCCCGGGAGGCCTGGAAAGGAAAAGGAATTCAGAACGTGGCCTGTACAAGGAGGAGAAAAAGGATTACGGGGCCAGTAGACAGACGCCCGTATCTGTGGCTCCTTGGCATGCCTCGGTCCCCTCAGTCCCCCCTCTCAGCCGGTGGCCTGGGCAGGCCGGGGATGCCAGATGTGCCCTGGGCCCCTTTTGACCTGGAGGACCTGAAGAAGAGGGGCACAGACACCAAGGGGCCAACCCACGAGGTGGGGTGACAAGGCCACTTATCACACCTTTATGTATTCAACGAACTGTCGCTGAGCACCGAGAACGGGCCAAACGGTGTGGGGAAGAAAAGGAAAGGCAGGGCTCCTTCCTACAAGAAGCTCAGGGCCTAACAGGCGAAACGCAGGCGTATCGATGACGTCACCCGAGGGAGGCTGCGTCACACAGACCTCGCTCGAATCACTCCCCCATTTTGAGCCTCAGCTTGCTCGTCAGTGAAATGGGGCTAATATGCCAGCTCTGCAGGGCTGTCCCGGAGGCAGGCTCTGGATAAACGGAACCTGCTTTTGCTGCACCTTGCGCGCGGTTCTGTCCCTTTCCCAGGGCTGTGTTGCAGGCTCGAGACGCACAGCACCCCAGGAGCGCAGGACGTCCTGTCCTAGTCCGTTCGGGCTGCCATAGCAAAACACCGCAGGGCGGGTGGCTTTGAAACGACAGACATTCATTTCTCCCTGTCCTGCAGGCGGGAAGCGCAAGGTCCTAGATGCAAGAGCTGGTGTGGTCGGGTTCTGGTGAGGGCCCTCTTCTGGGTTGCAGACCACTAACTTCTCCCTGTGTCCTCACGCGATGGTGGTGAGCTGAGGGAGCTCGTTGGGGTCCCTTTGATAAGGGCACGAATCCCATTCAGGAGGGCCCCGCCTTCAGGACTGAATCCCCTTTTAAAGACCCCACCTCCTAACACTGTCGCTTCGGATGTTAGGTTTTCAACGCATGAATTTTCATGAGAGAAAAACACTCAGGCCGTGGCTCGTCCCCCACATCTCCACGAGGGGGGGTGACTTTCTGAGAGGCGTGGCTTTGCCTGAGCTCACACATGTGGAGAGAGGCCGGCAGATTCCAGGTCTCCCGATGGCAAAGCCTATCCCCGTGTCAGGGCACCACGATGACAAGGCCTCTGACATGCTTTCTACTTCAGGGTAGAACCCCAGTCTGATTGGTGGGACCCATGATGCCATATCTCTCCCACGTGCACAAGACGGGGGGTGGGGCGGGCAGAAGCAAGGAAGCAGAGCAGGGGACTAGGGTCCCTCTCACACAAATCTCAGGGAAGAGCACTGGAGAATCAGCTCAGGCTCTGACCGCTGGCCCCCACTGACCAGCCTTTCACATGGCCTAGCCCGTTTTCCAGTGTCACGTGGGAATGCCACCACCTGCCTCACAGGGTCCTCAGGGGACCACATGGGGTCATGGGACACGGTAAAAACCCAGGGAAAGTGGGCTTTGGCTACACTTACCAGCCAAAGGAAAGAGGCAAGAACTCCAGAGACCCTGCGAGTACAGGGCTCAAGGCCAGAGGCTCCGGCCCCTGGCCCTTGAGGAGTAGTGCCCCACTTGTTGATAGGACAGGTCCAGTCCCTCAGGGGAATTTTCGAGGTGAGTCCCTAGGATCCTATGCCTGTCAATATGGCTCCTTCCCACCACAGGCTACACAAGCTGTAGCAGCTCTGCTGCGGTGGCCTGGCCCCCGGGGCGGGAACGGGACTCAGGCTGCGGAGTCCGACTCTGCCCCTCCAACTGTGCCTGAGTTAGCTTGAGTAAGTCAACGTCCCTCTGAGCCTGCTTCCTCACCTGTGAAACGGGGGTAATAGCAGCAGCCACTTGGGGTTAGCGTGAGGAGTCAACAAAAATACGTAGCTAGGGGTGCCCCCTTCACCTCCCCTGACCCAGGCCGGCCTAGTCCCCACTGCTCCCATCCTGTCTTCCAACTCTGCTCCTCTCTTGCACTCCAGCACGTGGGTCTGCCTTCTTTGCCTTCCTACGCTCACCAAACCCCCTTCCTACCTCAGGGCCTTTGCACATGTGGGTCTCTGTCTGGAACCCATATTTCCTGACACCTTCTGCTCATACTCAGGTCAAGGCCACTAGGTGTCTCTGGGAAACCCCTTCACGTGCCGGGGTTAGGCTCTTTCTGTGCCCTCCTTACCTAGGGAGTTGTCCCAGTCTATCAGAACAGAAGGGGCTGGAACAAAATCATGCTTCCCTGGGGGCAGGGGTTCTGTCTGTCTTCTTATGTCTGCGTTCCCAGTGGCTGGACGTTGCCTGGTCCTTAAGAGGCTTTCAGTAAATAATTGTTGGAAAGTCCGGAACACACAGGGGAGGGAAAGAGGTGTGGGTGGGTTCCACATCACCCTTTCCCCAAACTTGACTTAGGTGCAGCTCCCCTCTCCATCCCCGCTGTTCTGGAAGCTTGGGCCAGAGTGCAGTTTCTCTGCAGGCTGCCTCAGGGCCAAACCGGTCATCCTGAGCCCTGCACCCAAACGTCCTCTGGGATCCACCTATTGGTCACCAGGGGCCTTTGCAGGAAAATGTGCCTTTGGGGAGCCCTAGCCAGGCGAGGCAGGCCATGCGGGAGGGGAGAGAGATTGCAGCCTCCCCTGGGTGGGCCAGGGTGGTGGGGGACGCTGGGAAGGTATTGGTGGTGGGGGCGTTGCTGAGCTCCAGCTGCTAGAATCAGTTTCCAGCCTCTGGTTTCTGGGCTCCAGAAGAGAGAGAAAGGGACAAAGAGGTAGTCAGAGACAGAGAGAGGCTTCGAGAGACACAGAGAGAAAGTACTGGAGATTATATACATACATACACGTACAGAGTCTTCCTTGACTCGCAATGGGCTTAGGTCCCGATATACACAACGTAAACTGAAAATATGCTAAGTCGAAAATGCATTTAATGCGCCTAAACTACGGCCCGTGACAGCTCAGCCTCACCCACCGTAAACATGCTCGGAACACTGACATCAGCCTACAGTTGGGCAAAGTCATCTCACGCAAGCCCACTTTATAACACGGTGTCGGCCCTGTCATGTAACTTCCTGACTAGGGTACTGAAAGTGAGGGTCAGGATGGCTGTCTGGGGACAGAGTGGTTGCCAGCGGCGTGGTTGTTTGCGACCAGGAGCTGCCCCGCCCAGCTTCGCGAGAGAGCGTCGTCCTGCCTGTCGCAACCCAGGAAAAGATCCAAATCCAAAATTCAAGGTACAGTACCTGCTGAATGTGTATCACTTTGGCACCGTGGTAAAGTCAAGAAATCGTAACTGGAGCCACTGTATGTCAGCGACTGTGTGTACGTTCACACAGAGAGAGAGACAGAGGGACAGAAGGGAGGCCGCTCTCCACCCTGAGGGTGAGCTGGGCTCTGTGTCTTGTTCCTGGAGCACTGGGCCTGGGGCGGGTGATGGAGCAGATTTTAAACGTCAGACTAAACCCACTGGGTTGACAAGAGGTGTAAGCCCCCATCGTGTTGGCTACGGCGGTAGAAGCTGTTGGAACAGCATCTCCTTGGAGGGGAGGAGACGACGTTCAATCAGGCCGGGACTGCCCCGGAATTAGCGCATTCAATCTGCCCCAGAAAATAACAAAGCAAATAGTAACAACAGATAACAGCAACGACACTATCGAATGCTTCCTCTGAGCTGGGCGTTGGGCTAAGCATGTTTACCTTCGTCATTTTAATTCTCGCACCAATCCCGGGAGGTCCTGGGATTATACCCTGCTTCGAGGGGAGAACACAGAACTCAGAAATGTTAAGTGACTGGTTCAAGGCCACCCAGCTCCAGAGGGAGCCACTGTTTGTCCCGGTGCGATAGTCACACAGTGCACACTCGTGCTGCTGCCTCAAAACTCTTCCTGGCCAGCTGGGGCGCCCAAGTGGCTCAAATAGTTAAGCGTCCGACTCTTGGTTTCGGCTCAAGTCATGATCTCACGGTTCGTGGGTTCAAGCCCCGCATCCGGCTCTGCACTGGTGGTACAGAGCCTGCTTGGAATTCTCTCTCTCCCTTTCTCCCCTGTGCGCACGCGCGAGCTCTCTCTCTCTCTCTCAATATCTCTATCAAAAATAAGTAAATAAACACTAAAAAATAAACAACACGGGGCGCCTGGGTGGCGCAGTCGGTTAAGCCTCCGACTTCAGCCAGGTCACGATCTCGCGGTCCGTGAGTTCGAGCCCCGCGTCAGGCTCTGGGCTGATGGCTCAGAGCCTGGAGCCTGTTTCCGATTCTGTGTCTCCCTCTCTCTCTGCCCCTCCCCCGTTCATGCTCTGTCTCTCTCTGTCCCAAAAATAAATAAAAAACATTGAAAAAAAATTTTTAAAAATAAATAAATAAATAAACAACACAACTCTTCCTGGCCAGCAGCGTGATCTGGGCCATTATGTGAAAAATTCTGAAGCCAAGGAGTTCTGTCCCAAGAAGACCGTGTACCCTTATCTTCCGGGTGGAATTTCAACCGCTCAGGTGACAGAAAGGAGTAGGACGTGAATGAAGCGTGTGCGCACGTGTGCAACGAAACCCGCGTGTTTTCAAGGAGAAAGAGAAAGCAGCCGAGGGGGTTGTCCTCAGAAAGCACTTGCCATTGTCAGACATTCGTGGCCCACCCCTTCCCGTGAATCTTCCAGCATCCCTGTGGAGTGAGCCCAATTGTCTCCCTTAGTTTTGACACCGGTGAGCGGCTGGGGGTCCAGAAAAGTTAAGTACCTGGCCCCAAGTCACACAGCTGGTAAGCAGCAGACCTGGGATTAGAGGCTGCCCCTCCCGTTACAGTCCACCCCTTCCCCCATGTCATTACGGTGCTCTAGGAGACGCGAGTTGTGCGGCCCTGTCAACAATCACGGCAAGGTGGGGAGACAAGCTAGGTGTTGGGTAATCAGCCCTGGAAACAGTGCTTATGGGAGACAGAGGGGGAGTCCTGCATGGGCAGCAGGGACACCAGTAGGAGAGGGAGCAGGGGGGATACACGTGGGCTGGCCTTGGAAGGTGGCTTAGAATCGGCTGGGCTCGGTGGATGGAGAGGTCACTTCTCATTTCAGGCAAGGAGCAGGGTAGAGGCCCAGAGGCTGGGAGTCCCAGCACGGTCAGGGAACAGAGAGCAGACCCGACTGAGGACCAGTGAGTTTGTAGGGGGGCTCTGGAGGCCAGTGGGAGGTAAGCTGGGGTTGAGGCCCAGAAAGGCACAGGCCCAGGAGCCCCTGGGGGAAGGCTGTGGGGAGCGGGCGACGTGGGTCAGAGCGGAAACAAACGTACCTGGAGCGCCTCGGTCCCCTTTGATCCCGAACAGCTCTGCAAGGGGAGAAGAGAGGATTGTAGGCTTGGCCAGGCGGGCGCACCCAGCTCAGAGCTGGAAGATTGTGTGCCCTCGGGGCTGAGGAGCAGGGGCTTCGGGCAAACGGGGGATTTGGACAACAGGGGCCCAACGCTCGGGTATTTTCCAGGAATGAATGTTTTCGAGAAAGCTGGATGTTTGGTTGCAGGTAGTGGTCTGCACCGGAGAGCTGTAGATCCCTGGGAGCTGCAGAGGTGTGGGGAGAAGGTTGAGACCCCCGGAGTCTCCCCTGTATGGTCAGAAGACCTTGGAGCCAAACCCATGAAGGAAGAGCCTCAGGTTAAAGGCAGGGCCCCTCGTGCGGATCACCACCTTCATATGTCACGTAGAGAGGGCTGGTCCTGGTGTCTGAGCGGCTAAGCCTGGACTCCGCCCATCTACCACGGCCGTCACCTCTCCTCACATCAGGGCTCAGCGTCTGTCTGTGCTCATGATGCAGCCTCGGAGGGATTTGCCCACTTGGACACTGAGTCCTTTCAGCACGTGCTCCCCTGGGCACAGAGCCACCGTCATGGAACCAGCCCCCAAGGCCGAGCCCGTCCCAGAGGCAGAAGAGCTGGAGCTCCGGGCCACAGTGTGAACCCTGCAAACAGTCAGATCACACCTAGGAGCCGGTTTGGCCCAGATCAGCTCTTCCTGTGCGGGCACAGCCAGAGGCTGGCAGGTGCAATGGCGGACAGCCTCGCCTGGCCCAGGGAAGACCGAGGGAAAGCGGAGGGCACTGGCATCTCCACCGTCCGCTCTGTTTTCTCCTGTGTGCAGCCCTATCTTCCAAGCCACCACACTTCCCCAGTAGGCCCACTGCCCCCTCCCTCCAGGGTTCCCACGTGACCTGGACCGGCTTGGTGCCTTCCATGATGCTCTCTCCAGCCACGTGCCAGTATTAGTTGGCTGCACGGGAGTGGTCTTGGGAATTGTCCCAGGCTCTGTGTTTTACCCACCTTCCCAAACATTCTAGATCCATCTGTGGGCTTTGTGACTAAGACCTGGCCTTGGGCCGATTGCTCTGGTCCCTGGCTCTCGGAGGTCATACTCTACTTGGATAGGGCACTTGCAACCTAGGTTCTTGACCCACCTGTCTGCAGCCCCCGATGGGGCTGTAACCTCATGCCCGTCCATTTGGCTCTCACCCCTTGTCTTGGGCCCCAGGGTCTCATACACTGGGTTCTGGAATGCTCTCTTTGCCGGGGAAGGAGTTTCAGGCCCAAAGATCCCCTTGCCCATGAACCAGCAGCCCCTACTTTCCATCCTCTGAAGGGTCCCGGTGCAAGGGGAGGGGGCCAAACCTGGGTTTCGAGTGAAGTTGTCCACCTTCCGCAGCAGATGCTCCTGCCTGGTGCGGACCTGGGTGATCTGGGCCTGTAAGACTTGTAGCCCCAGCGTGCCCCCAGGGAGGTGCGGGATGGACATTGACTGGAGCAGAGAGAAGGACGGGCTGTCCTCGGTGGCCAGAGTTCCATTGGTGAAGTTCATCTCCAGGGCCCAGAGCCGCTCCTGAAGATTCAGAACTGGACACCCCACCCCAACCCCACAACACTCTCTTAGGGACCTCATTAAAGCCCCGGGCATGTGAGCATGTCCCTGACATTCCTGTGTCATATGTGCATGGCTTCTGTGGGTCCTGAATACTAAACACACATGTCATGTGCTGTGAGGACCTAACGTGAGCACAGAGCTCTTTCCATATCTTGCACATGTGTGCTTTATACCGGGCATGACGTTACATGTCATAGAATATTCCTGCGTGGCCTAGGGATGTACCCACAGCATTACGATCAACCTTCAGCCTTCCTGGATATTCTGGGTGTAAACATATGATGACTAATGTACTGGTGTGATCTAATCATGTGTGACCTTAATATGTGAGTGACACATGTTTATGACAGCTGAGCACACCATGTTCTTGCGTGACTTCAGTGTCTGCGGGTGGAATTGCTTCATGACCTTAACATTTGGACTGGGGACACTTTGAAGGTAAGATCATATTAAAATGAACAATCAGGGGTCCCCCGGGGGGCTCAGTCGATGAAGCGTCTGACTTCCGCTCAGGCCATGATCTCGCGGTTCACAAGTTTGAGCCCCGCATGGGGCTCTGTGCTGACAGCTTGGAGTCTGGAGCCTGTTTCGGATTCTGTCTCTCTCTCTCTCTCTCTCTCTCTCTCT